TCTTCTTCTTCTTCTTCTTCTTCTTCTTCTTCTTCTTCTTCTTCTTCTTCTTCTTCTTCTTCTTCTTCTTCTTCTTCTTCTTCTTCTTCTTCTTCTTCTTCTTCTTCTTCTTCTTCTTCTTCTTCTTGTTGTTCTTGTTTGGGGCGAGTACCGCTCAGATCTGAATTGGTCATCAAGAAGACCTCGCCTTTGCACTCCATTGCCATGGCCTTCGACATTGATTTGAAGTATAGCCGTTGGCAACCATCGAAGTTCCGTTCATAGTCATCTTGCGTCCAGTCCTGGAAGATGCATTTGGCCTCGGGAGTCTTGTCGAGGTCATTCTTGTTTGGATAGAACTTTGGCGGATGTAGCTCCTGTGAGTAGTTAGCATTTTCGCGTGGTCGTACTCTACTTAGCGAGGCGTACCCAGATAGTTTGATACTTGCGCGGTCCTTCCGCAGCCCCCGTCAAAAGTACCTCCTTCAGAACAAAGTTGGCCAGCCTTTCTGCCGCTCCAGTGAGTTTCGAGGTGTAGAAAAGGCAGGGCACGTCGCATTCGTTGGCCTCGGGTTTTCGGTTTGCGATGAATTTCTAGACAGCTTAGTCATTGGATTAAACAGATTCAGACGGGAAAACTACTCACATCAACTGTAACATCTGCCATCTTCCAGCAACTACCGGTGTTGTCGCCCTCCAGCCTGCCACGACACGTCTCATCAGGTACTCCAAATTGGGGTCCCAGAGGATTGGAGAAGATAGCTGCTTCGATCTCTCTTTTCGCCAGATCCCATGGTGTAAATACGGACCTGTCATGGACAGGGAAAGATGTGGACCGCCGGATGTAAGTCCAGCACAGGATAGTGAGCCATGTGGACTTCATGTCGTAGTAGCGATGGCAGAATGAAAATATACGCAGTAACGTAAGGAATGATACAGTCCAGGCGACACGTATTGATTCAGTGTACGTTCACCCAATGCTGATAGCAGTTGAGAGAAGACATACCTAGTTCTCAGCAAGGATTTCAGCGAGACTTGTGTCGATAATTTTAGCCACGGTATCTTGATAGTACAAGAACTCCAGTTTGACTATCTGCCTTGCAACCGCGCGTTGAAACAAAGACAGGCATTTGTCCCGTGGTACATGGCCACATCTCAAGAAGATTCAACACATCCTACCTACCTAGGGAGGTATCGCAAAGCCCTACAGCCCCCAATGCTCACCAAGAGACGCGACCTTGAGGCGTCACACACATGATTCTTGAAATATCGGGATTTGGGGCTGAAACAGCCCTCTTCTGTCTCCCTAAATTCTTGCGCGCGACGCCTCCTCCGTGCATCGGGTAGTAACATAGATAGAACGTCATTGCCCTGAGTCCGCCTGGGCTAATTAGGTACCTCCAAGGTTGGAATGCGCCACCCTTGGCATTTTAGGCAACATCAAGCCGATGTCAAATAAGCGCTTGTAGCGTCACTGTGCCACCCTCAGGTTAATATCCGCCCGCACACCTCTCGACATCATCAACTGTAGAAGCCCTGAGTACACGTTTACGCTCAAAGTACACAGATCTTCGTTGCTCTCTTTCCCACCTTCTTTCCCACCTTCTGGATCCGACCAGCCTTGAATTTGTTTCACTTTCAAGGTTTGCGTTTCTCACATACCTAGGCATCATAGTGGGCCTTATCGCTGATAACGATCGCAATGTCAACGACTCTCTCCAGCTTTGGCGAAGCGCGCAATGCGAGATTGATTGGCAAGAGAACGTTGGAAGAATGTTTGCGGCACATTGTGGCCTACTACAAGCTTCCCAAATCTACGGTAGAGTCTGCCGACAAAGAGGCATGGAAGCTGAGGGGCTTCGAGAGAGAAGTACGAGATCTACTACTCAGCGAGAACTATGAGCCGCCCACAGACGATGGTAAGTGCGATCAAAATGCAGAATGACCGGCTGTGGGTCTCACTGCTTACACGAGTTCCTAGATACAACCATCATTCTTTCGATCTTCCTGAGTGCATTTCAAGGCGACATTCCTGCCATCAGAAAACTTCTTGAATCTTCTGGCATAGACCCAGTATACTATTCCCGTCCTCTCATGAAAATCTCATCAGAAATACGCGACGCCCAGCTTCTCCGTTTCTGTTTCGAGATCGGCTTTTCGCCCAACTACTTCGACTCCTACACTTTTTGCGGCTGGTATGGGAAAAACGGTGTGGAATGGCTCGATATCTTGTTCGACCTGGACTTTTGCCAATGGCGCACAAACCCACAGCAGTTAAACTACAATTCAACTACGCATAATTCAACCTGGTGTGATATGGTTCGCATGGGACCTGACGCCACTCGCTGGTGGATAGACCATGGAGGAAGTGTGAGCAGGTTCCGAGGAATGTTTTTTGCACCCTTTGAACAGCCATGGCCGAAGGCTGCGTCAATTCGAGTCCTGTTGGACAGATTCGGAATCGACTGGTTCAAGGACTCGGGGACGCTGCAGCTAGCAGTCGAGAAGCGCGACATGGAAACTGTGAAGATGTTGCTAGAAGCGGGAGCAGATGTCAACGAAGATGTCACTGACTGGAACACGGACATTCGTGAGCATCGAGCCGCCCCATTACGAGCACTAGCGATGGCTATGTACGCTAAATCTGATGACATGATCCGATACCTTGCAGAGCATGGGGCAAAGGTCCCGCGCGATTATGTCGAAGACCCATACAACTACAAGCGAGAGGAATTCAAGCCCTTCAGGAATTTAGTGGTAGAGCTGGGTGCTGTGGAAGAGTAGGCATGTTATCTATCTACGCGTTTGCAAACTACATGGTAGTTACACTGTATCTAGTTATTGATTTCAAGCCAGCTATTGATTTGGTTACTCGTTTCTGTCATTGAACTTCGGAGCGGTCAAGTAGTTGGCAAATTCCTGCTATCGATTCCGCTTCTCCATTCTGGCGAACAAGAGCTATGCTAGGTAGCACAACACCCTGGGGCCGTACTGGTATACGTTTGTTTCATCGACCAAATTGGCAGCATGGATTCTGCAGACGCTCAAACGCCCTGCTCCGGATGTATCGGATGCATTATGAGACACTGTCGTCGAAAGGCAATTGCTCAGTATTGAAGATATGCCAAAATTGGTCAGCATGTATGAGGAGCCGCCGACACTCGTTCTTCAGCAAGACCAAGAAGAGGTCAGCCTCACGTTTCGGATGATGATACGAGACTTCCCACTGCATGCATGAAGATGTCATAAGAAGCTGAGGCATAGGCTTTCAGGATCCCCGACAAAAGCACAGAATGGGGGCGATAGAGTGGCACGGAGTCATTCCACGATCCTAGGACTATACGCAGTACCTCCCGGGGTCAAGATTTGTAATTGCTGATATGAATGCGGCACAGGCTATCTACGTAGAATGCTTCCAATGCATGTATGGAGATCTCGTAAGAAGCCAAGACGTGAAGTTTCGAAACCCTCTGGCGCAAGAGTAAGACGGCGGCCGTGCCGCTGCGGGAGAGCCACGGGGCCAGCCCCCGGTTATGAAAAGTGCCCCCACGGGCCAAATGCTTGAGCTGAAGGCGGTGCGGTATCTTCGGATACTCATTTCCGATCCAAACCCCACATTACTTGCATACTGAGGAGTTACAGGGATGCTCTCAAATAGATGCCATGTCCAACTACTTGCCAAATTTAACCACATGAGCGCTACGAGCCACGCGATGTTACCCATGCCTTTTGTCCTGGGGCTATATACGTACCTTGAGATCCTTCAAGAATCTTCACAGCCCAGATCTACTCTTGAGCAGGCATCAAACGCAATCCACCGCTCATCCTCACTGTAAAGATCGTTGCAATCAAAGACGACTCTTACACCTCTTTCACATACACAGTCACTTCGAACATGAAGGCATTCTTCCTCCTCCAGCACTTGGTCTGCATAGCCAACGCTTATCGCCTCCATCACTAGCAAGTCATCGCCTTCCATAATCCATATGTATGACAACTACTGACTTTTGGCGTTGGCGTATAGTCAATCTGCGGGCTGCCGCGGTGCCAACCTTGGCTGGCGAGATGTCGATGCCAGCACTGGCTGCAACCGCGACAACGCTGGGGTAGCTGCAGCCATCATTATCGAACACAATGAAACTGAACAAGCCGGAGGTGAAGGTGACAAAGATTTTGGCTCCGTTGTCGTCCTCTTCAATGGCGACGACTGCAAGCCCTCGGATATCTTGGCGTATGGTGACGATGGCTGCCTCGTGGGGAACTATGGAAGTTATGAAGTCTGGGACTTGTGGTCGGTCGATGGCATGGAATCTCCGGAGCTGAAGTGAATGAAATTGCGATTGTTTGCTTAGATTGAGTTTGAAGGGTGTTTGTTTAGTTCAGCTGGCAATCCACATGTATCAGTTTCTGCGCGATATGATTTCCGCAAGCTTGATCATGAAGTCTAGACGCCAGATGGTTATAGCCGCAAATGTAGCGATATGATTAGACGCTTTGCTTCGTGTAATGATCTTTCGCTTCAATGTAACGCTCCATATCAAACTATACGCTGATGAACTCTTAGTGACCGAAAGCTCCTTGTTCATGTATTTAGTCTAGCAAGACTTCCCCACCGTGATTAGACGGTGAATCTAATGTCTTTCGCATCGGCAACCAAACAAGCAAAGAAGTCCTCCTTGATCGACTGTACGTAGGTAAGCATGTGGCGCTCGATATAGCAAGTTCGAAATTCCGAGATTGCCCAGGTGTCAGACTGCACCTTTTGGTTTCGAAAATATGTATGTAAGATGGGGCCTGAACCAGGCCGAGAAGTTAGATTGCACAGCGCGGCCATAGAGGTCTCGGCCAGGTTATGTGGGTTGGGGGCTATAGGCAGCTTCCACCCCACAGGTTCTTACACAGGGCAGAATCCGTGCCTCGTGAAGGCAGTGTTCGTTGTGTTGGGCTCACCCGCCCCAGCGTCGCTTTCGTGGCAGTGTGCATCATGTGGCAGGATGTCTGAGTAGAGAGCAGAGTGGCCTCGCCAACGGTTGAGGCAACGTATCGCGTGCGAAGAGGTTGAGCCGTCCGATGCAGCCCCATACCTTTCATATGATCAATCGTAGGATACGCCACGTATCTTAACTGTTTCGTCACTCAAATTAGATTAGCCCTGCGCAAGCAGTCACAGCATCAGAAAGGCTGGCAGCTTACCTAGGTACATTGATAAGAAAGCCATCGACGTGAGTCCTTCTCAGTTCACATCAAAATCTACCTTTACACTACTGCTAGCTTCTTGCCAACCCCTCATCATGCATGTTGCAAAGACCATCAAAGTACTGTTCCTCCTAACGAATCATTTGATCGCCGCGTATACCCCCAGCGAAGCCACTTTACTTTCGCAACGTGTCCACAGGGGTACGGCATCCGATCTCGATATCTCACAGCCAGGCTCCGTGCTGGGCCGCGAAGCTCGATTTCCCTTAGTTAACAGACAAGCGGGAAATGGAGAGAGCTGTGAAAGAAAGGCTCGATGCAAGAAGAACAAGATTCGAGACCCGTCCGACCCGACCAAATGCATCAAGTGCCCACCGCTCATGAAGTCGGATCCCACGAAGACAGTATGCATCAGAGACAAAGATGTGAGTGAGGAGGACAAGAAGAAAACCTACGAAGACAAAATCAAGGAGAAGATCAAGGAGAAGTTTGAGAAGTTCAAGGACATGATCAAAGAGCGCCTGGAGAAAAAGAAAGAAGAAAAGAACAAGGAGTGGGAGGAAAAAGACAAACAGAGACGATCTGAAAGAAACCAGAAGAAGTTTCGCCGTATGGCTGTATGTCTTCCTCTTACTGCCGCTGCCATTGGTACGGAGGCCATGCTTGAGATGGCTGACGGCGGCTTCTCATTGGACTTGCTGGACAGCATCAACGGGGATATGCTTGAAGTATGGCCTGGTTCTGATATCGACGACGAATGGCTGGACAACGCGGTGCCTGACGATGAGAGCGATATCGTTCAAGAAGACTTTGCGAAAGGATTTCTGGAGGTTGGCGACGCGGCTGCTGAGAATGCAAAGCGATCTATGGAGAAAAGAGACGGCACCACCGACATCAACTCCACCGACATCAACTCCACCAACACCAACTCCACCAACACCAACTCCACCAACATCAACTTCGCCAACTCCAATTCCACTTCACCGCAAGAAAGCCCATCTACTGACAAACGAAACTTTATCAACGCCATTGCCAACCTGTTCAGGTCGGCTGTCGATGCTGTTATATCCGTGGCTAAGGCAATTTCCAGAACGGTCGGAGCAGCTGCCCGTGCTACGAAATTCTTCTCCAATGGTCGAAAACCAAATTTGAGGCAGCCAGGTGAGTCGAAGTGGTCTCGTGCACAGCAGTTGGACAAGGCCAAAGAAATATCAAAGAACAAGAATTGGACAAGATGCCTTCGAGGTGAGAAGGCTGAGAAGTAAAGACAGCACGCTTCGATGCTCAGTTCCCAGTGGCAACACACCGATTGGATGATACAGCGCATTCCTTTGTCTTAGTTTACTAGCTATAAAACATTTTCGTTATCTGTATTTAGAGTCATGAGACGTTGACTAGAGAGAAGAGAAGTATATGTTAAAGATATCGCTGCCTCCACGATCTTTCCGGTGCTATCATATGGTCCAAGAATAACAACCACGACCTTCTTGCGGTTGAGGACCTCTGACGTACATAGGCAAGAGCATTGGCTTGTATCCATTGTCGGAAGAGTATCATGGTACAGAAGGCAAAGCCCAGACTGGAAATAGCTAAAATAATAAGAGCGTACGAAAGCATGCACCACAATTCACTCTACTGTCGCGAAAGACGACCTTGAAGTCCTGAGAACCCGCGTATTTCTTCGTCATATATGGGCCGCTTCAGCTCTTAGTAAGCCTTTACCGCAGCTAGTTGCAGAATCCTATCCGTAACAATCGGCTTCTCTAGTGGTTCCGTTCTATTCTGCGGATCAGGCTTGCCATCTCTCTCTGGCGGGCCTTGTTTGCGGATATTGCAGTGCGGCCAGTGTGTCGTACCCTGCCACGTCTTGAAGAGCTCGGCTTTGAGTTCGAGATCCTCTTTCTTCGCGAACTTGGCGGGCGTCATGCAGACATACTGGACATGGCGGATGCGGTTGCCTTGAGGAAAGCATGCGTAGTGCATGGTGCGAGAATCCCTGCGCGACATTAACTCAAGGACCAAATGGGGGAGGGAAGACGGTAAGAACATACCACAGCACCAAGTCACCAGCTTCAAGGTTCACCTTCTCGAGTGTGCATCCGCGGTCTTTAAACCACTGGACATCCTCTTCCTTGAAGATGAAAAGATCCTTGAAGTCCTCTTCCTCCGGAGGCTTGTCCTCATGGTTATCCTGCTCCCTCTTCTCGCGGAAGAACTCATCATACAGCTTGCTGCTGCCCTTCATCAAGATCAAGCCACCATCATCAGGGCCATTGGGTTGGTAGTTCAATAGACCTTGCACACACTGCATGCCCTTGCGGTGAGGAGATTGATCGCAGTGCGGCCAGGGGCTCCACTTGAGATCCTTCTGGCGCGGCAGTGTGATGTTCATGCCGTCGAATGAGCAGAGGAGCTCCTCGGTGCCCCAAAGCTTGGCGAAGGTTTCGATGACCTTGGGTTCGGTGCGAGCTTCCCTGAATCTGCATTAGTATGTTGCCGACATCGCATCCAATGCACAACTTACCAAACAAATTTCTCGTGTGTGCTAGAGTAGGCAAAGTACATCCCGCCCTTGAAGCTAACAGGAA